CTGGCACTTCATATTCCGCCCTTGCTTCGCTCGCCCCCGCTCATCTCTTTTTTTTTACCGTTTTATTTACTGTTTTCAATAGATTAGAATTTTGGATCCGCTGCAAGCGGATCCCTTCCTGCATTTTCGTCGCTTTCTCAAGATTTTCATCTGTGAAATTCATTACTTAAAATCCTTGTGTTCAACCTGGAAACTCACCAGTAAAAAGAGTAAAAATAATTGTGATAACTACTCAGGGTCTACAACCACAAAATTACTATATCTTATCGCTTTTATATAAACTTCCACTCACTGATTTTCGAATATAAATTCCCTGTGGATTTGTGATAAACATAGCAAACTCTCACATTTTTTAGTTATCAAAATATATAATGAGGTTCTCTTTCTTGGTATTCTGAGAAGACAATCTTGAATTTTAAAGCAGCAACTAACATGTGATATGTAAAATTCCACCTTGTGGGATAATAAATTATCAACTTGATGTTTTTGTTCAACTACTTCACCAAAAGTCTTCAATCTTGAATCATTGAAGTTTACATACTTCACACTTTCACGAACATTGTGAATGACATCTTTGATTTGACTAAGCCCATCTTGCACTAAAAGATTCAATATGTGTGCGCAACACCTAACATGAAATAGAGCTCCATCGAGGACAAGCTTAGTGCTGCGTGATATGTAATCTTTTAGATACCTCAAGCACGAGTCGTTATATGAAGCATTGTCAACTGATGCTGAGAAGACTTTATCTTCGATCCCCCAAACATTCAAACATTTGAAAATAGCATTGGCTACATCAATTTCTCGCCTTGGAGCAGACACCTACATTGGTAGCTAGGTTGAACACTTCCAAAAGTTTACAAACTTTCTCAACTTTCTCTCAATTTTCATTTGAAGGTGCAAATGTACAATGAGATTCTCTTTCTTGGTATTCTGATAAGACAATCTTGAATTTTAAAGCAACAACTAACATGTGATATGTAAAATTTCACCTTGTGGGATAATAAATTATCAACTTGATGCTTTTGTTCAACTACTTCACCAAAAGTCTTTAATCTTGAATCATTGAAGTTTACATACTTCACACTTTCACGAACATTGTGAATGACATCTTTGATTTGACTAAGCCCATCTTGCACTAAAAGATTCAATATATGTGCGCAATACATAACATGAAAAGAGAGCTCCATCGAGAACAAGCTTAGTGCGGCGTGATATGTAATCTTTTAGATACCTTAAGCACGAGTCGTTATATGAAGCATTGTCAACTGCTACTGAGAAACTTTATCTTCGATCCCCCAAACATTCAAACATTTAAAAATAGCATTGGCTACATCAATTCCTCGCCTTGGAGCAGACACCTTGACAAAGCTTAAAATCCTTTCCTGAAGTTTCCACCCAAAATCTATGAAGTGATCAATGATTACCATGTATTCAATTACTTGATGACTGGATTTCCACATATCTGTTGTCAAACTAATCTTACTCACACTCTAATAATTCTTTCGCTTTTTTGTTCTGCTTCATATATTGCTATGCAATCACTTCGTATCTTCTTACGGAAAACTTTCTGACATTCAGGGTTTGTATACTGAAATGGCCATATAAAAGCATCGTCTTCTACAATGCTAAAAGGATACTCATGCACCATAATAGACGTGGCAATGGCTTCCCTCATCTTTTCATTAGAAAATCTAAACCCGGGACTTACAAATGGATTAGTTGTATCTGATGGCTTAAAAGGAATGATAACTTGTTTCTTTTGTAAAGTCATATGTACTGACCTTTGCAAACACCCTTCTGAATGTTCCTTTAGATGGCTTGTGCTCACACCTCTTCCTTTGGTAGCAAATGCATTTTACAGTACTTGCAAATAGCTTTCTTTCCACCTCCAACAACTTCAATTTCATCAAAATTATTCTATACAATTGAAGTTTTTTTCCTTTTTCTCTTATTGGAACCTTCGTTGATTTGAATTTCTTTTATTTCATTTTTGTTATCATCCGCCTGTTGGCTTGAAATTAGAATCCATATCATTCACAGATGAAAGACCAAAAATATTTGTTTCATCATTCGAAGCCATTCTGTTTCAAAAAAAATAAAAAACATTTTATTAATGAAATACATTAGAAACAAAAATATCGTAATTTCAGTATTTTATTTACACTAACGGTTCATTATTTTTCTAAAAAAATAGAAAATTTATTCACAAGCCATTTAAATAAAATATAACAAAATAAATAAAAATAACAAAAATAACGTTATAAAAAAACCAAAACAATAACGTTAAAAAGAAAAAAGAAATAACATATAAAGAAAAACAAAAATTATAAAATAAATAAAATATAACAAAAAATAACAAATAAAATCAAAAAAATATAAAATAAATAAAATATAACAAAAAAATATTTCAGAATCATATCCAAATAAGAACAACGAAAAGAACAAATTAAATTTTTTTACCTTACTAATTTTTCCAAATTCTACCACCAGTAGTCATAAAGAAGAAAAAACGATGAAGATGAAAAAAAAAAAAAAAACCTTTTTGACTTTTATTATAGAGCTTTGAAAGAGATAAGATAGGACGACAAAGGCTGGGTAAGAAATACATCCTATCTTCGACTCTGCCTTCTAAGAGAAGGATGGGGACGTAGTTATGCGATAAAAAGAACTGACGGTATCTGGGGAATAAGCATCGGCTAACTCTGTGCCAGCAGCCGCGGTAAGACAGAGGATGCAAGCGTTATCCGGAATGGCTTCACGAAAAAAGATAGGCAAAACCGCCCTGACGCCATGAAAGGCGGGGAAGATCAAAGCCATTGTTGATTGGGAGACCCCAAAAAAAGGAAAAAGATGCTGCGAGCGGTTGTGGAAGCATCGGAAAGGAAATATGTGAAAATACAACGCAGTGGAAAATTGAGAATATTTGAATTAGATAAATAAAACAAAGAAATTGTGGGAGAAAGGAATACGTGTGTAGCAGCTGTTCATATTTTGAAATTTTAAATTAAGATAAAAATTGTTTTTATTTTTATTTTTTATAATAAATTTATAATTAAATTTTTTGTAAAATATTATTATATTTTTATAAATCATTATTTAATATAAAACTATTCTTAATTAATAATAATGAGAAAATATTTTTTTATAATAATAATAATATTATTATTAAACAGGCCGGCCTGTTTGATAAAAGGTTTTTTTTAAGCTTAAGTCTATTCTATTTAAATAAAAAAACTTTAATATATTTCATTTTCTCTATTTTTCTCAGTTTTTGGCAATATTTTTTCGATGAGTTTTCGGTTAATATTCCAATAACGTTTCCGACGCGAAAGATTATTTCCTCACCTCATTTCTTCTATATTTCTCTTGTTTTTCTAGAGATATTTTTCCGGTGAGTTTCTGGTCAATCTTTTAGCCCTTAGCTACCCAATTCGGTTTTTTCCAACTCATTTTTAGTTCATTGGAATTCCAAAATATTGGGATTATACATAATCCAAAGATGATACAACATTTTAAAGTATAATTTACTTATAATATTTTATTTTGGTATTGTTTGATATTTTGTATAAATAATTTAATATAACTTTTTTTTTATATTATAAATACTTTTCTGTTATTTATTTTCTAGATAATTCTATATTAATTTTTATTTAATAATAACATTAAAATAAAATTAATTTATTTTTATTTATAATATATGTACTATATTATTCATATTTTTATATTTAAATTTAATATTTTGATTTATTTGAAATAATAATATAAATATTGATGATTTAATGAAATTTTTAGAATTTTATTCAAAAATATTTGTGTATATATAAGTTTTCAATAAATTTATCCTATTTTATTTTTTTATTTTTGATATTTTTATTAAAATAAATTTATATTAAAAATCCATAATTAATATACCATAATTAACATTTTTAACAAAACTATAACTAAAGCAATCAATAAATAATTTTTATATATAAAAGTTGATAAAATTATTAAGAACATGATACTATAATGATAAAAATTTGTTTATATTCAGTTAAAATTAAATAATTAATTTAAATTTAAATTAAAAAAATAAATTCGCTATTTTACATATATATTAATTACATAACTAATTATATAAATTCTAATTTTTAACTTTATAAGATAAAATTATAGATGTATTTCTTTAGTAAAAATTTAATAGAAGTATACAGAAAAATTATAAAAATATTTGATAAAAAAATATATATATATATATATATATATAAAAAGAACGTGCAGCACACGGATTTCCAACTAATTTAAAATATATATATATATATATATATTTATATATTAGGAGTTGAAAAACAGAATTAAAACACAATACCACCATGGTGAAGCCCAATAATAAATTAACAATGCAGATAAACTGATAGATATATTGGCCCAAATAAACCCCAATTCTAACCCTCCTCTGAAACCCTATAAATAGGGCTTCCTGAAGGGGAAGTACAACCTTCTTACCTGCCGCTTCTGGCTTTTGCAATGCGATTTGATTTTGTAGTGTGTTCTTGTTTTGTTTAATTTCATAAAGCCATGTGATTTGATTTTGTAGTGTGTTCTTGTTTTGTTTATTTCCATAATGTTTTGGTTCCTGTGGCGGTGATGAAACCCTAAAGGCTTGTTTCTCAAAACATTCGCAGTGGCCGCCTAAGAGCTTTCGCCTTCGCCGGGCTTGAGAGCTTCTGCTGTCTCTATACTTCCTTGGATGTCTGAGCCACTTTGCATCTGATTTCTCTTTTCTGTGCTCGATATTGCAATTCGTTGATTTCTTACCGGTGGATTAGCGGATCTATCGTTGGGCGATATTAGTTAATCTCGTGCATATGTTATGGTGGTGGTTGTTTTACGTGTGTGTTTCTGCCTTTAGCTACGAATCGTTCCGCTTCCTTTCGGGATTTTCGTAGACAAGGTAGATTGATTTTCCCAATTTTGAAAATTTCTGTCTTTGGTTTTATGTGCATGAGTGATGATAATTAGGGATGATGAAATAAATCAGACGGATTCCCATTGATTTTATCCGTGATGACAATCACCAGCTACTTCTGACCTTATCATCTTTGAGAGTTTCTGTTTAATTACTAGTGTTGTTTTGATGATTTCATAAACTAATTTGTTAAATTTGGTGAATTGTATTGTGCCAATGACTGGTTATCTTTTTTGGGCCGATGATTTGTACAATATTTGCTACTCTTGATAGAAATTGAAATATATTTCTATATGATGATATTTTTCCACCAAGATCTATGAGGCCCCTGTTACAAATTGTAGCTTTTGTTCATGTTTTTATAATCTGAAGAACACCTTGGTGATTTTTTGCTGTTTTGGCGCTTCTTGCTTTATCCGTACAGTGTCTGTCTGTAATTCGTATACATACATTCTGGATGACATTTTATTCGAGGTTTTTCTGGCTAATTCTCTAGAATAGAACGAGCAGGATCTGGTTTCTTTATTACATTATAATATTCTTATTCGATAGTATCCTATTACAAATCCTTACAATGTCCTGCCTTCGATTTTAGTTAGCTTTGTTTGTATTGTTTTAATGATTGGTTTTGTTATGGTTTGTTGAAAGAATAAATTGAGACTGGATCTGTTATGGTTTAGTTGGCTTTTATTTATTTTTGTTGCATTTGATTGTGGTGGTTGTTAGAAACTATGTAATATTGGAAATTGAGATGCTTCAATTCGAAATCAGATAACAGATCTGTTTAAGAAGATTCGAGTTTTGCATTGCACGTAATTTTCTTGAAGCAAATTCAGCTCGCCACCGATTGCTTTCCAGGATAAAATGAATCGATCAGGGATTTACAATCATACAACGAACCGAACCAAGAAACGAGAGAAGATTTTTGGAGGAGAAATTAAAAGGAAGAAAAATATAGAGTCGAGAGCGTTGAGATTTTCGTTGGTTGTATTCTTTAATTTAAGAGGAAGAAAGATTAAATAACATTGCCACTAAAATCATAACCACCTCCGCATGTTCCAATATTTGTTGTAAGGTTTATTTTATTTTTTCAATTATTAATTTGAAATACTAAAAATTAATTAATCAGATAAAATAAAATTTAAAATAATTTGAACTTTTCTTATTGGGCTCGGGCCATGAGCCCTTATAGCCCCAAGGCCCAAGGCCTAATCTTGACTTTATATATATATACTCAATTTCAAGCCTAAGCCCAATTTATTATCTCATCTAATTCATTCTCAATTGAACAATAATTAAGAATAAATTCTTATAAGGAGGTGGTGGTTTGTTTGTTATTTCCATGTGGGACAATGCTCATTTTTATTTATTTATTTATTTCTTTCTTTACTAACAATTCTCCTCATGAAAGAGGAAAGAATGTTTAGTTAATGAAAAAAAAACGAATTCTGCGTAGGATAATAGGTTTCTCTTTGAACTTTCCTTGAGCAGCAAGTAGGTTTACCAATTATCCAGTGGACACGTTATCTTTGAACTGTTCAATTTCTTAGTAAATGAACTACATACCGACATAATCCACATTCCTAGTTCGGTTCTCATTATTTGGTCCATTTTGGCCAATAGAACCCATCCTGGTTCTGCAAGAGTTTCTAAAAGACTGAGCCTAGGCAGTTCTCTTTTAAAGCAGTCTCACTTCTCTTTTACATAGGTGATTTTTCTAAGTATCAAAGTAATACAATGCTCACTTAGTAATCATTAAAGCACTTATTTGCTATCCTCTCTACTTTGTCACTGTTCGTTGACAGGAATAGGTTGAGGCTATTAGCCCCCACAGTGACGCACATAAGTTTTATAGGCAGGTTGTCCCATTGAACCTAGTTCTTAGAATCTCCAATCTTTTTAGGTTGAGTTTTCCTTTATAAGACTTATATTTCGGCAGGCCTAACCCCAATTTCTCTAGTCAATTTGTACACTGCATCACGATTTAACCCTTTGGTTAATGGATCCGCTAGGTTATCTTTTGACGCAACATGGTCTTTCGTAATAACCTTAGTTGTGATCAGTTGTCTTATGAAATTGTGTTGACGGCGAATATGTCGACTCTTTCCATTGTACATTGTACTCTCTGCTCTGCCAATAGCAGATTTACTATCGCAGTAAAGAGTTATGGCAGAGACAGGCTTGTCCTATTTTGGAATGTCCTCAAGGAAGTGGTGAATTCATTCTGTCTCTTCTCCAGCTTTGTCCAAAGCAATGAACTCAGATTCCATTGTGAATTTGACAATAATTGTTTGTTTTGAGGATTTCCAAGAGATTGCTGTACCAACTAGTGTGAACACATATCTACTAGTTGATCTCGAATTAAGTGTGTCAGATATCCAATTGGCGTCTGAGTAGCCTTCTACTACAGTTGGACGTCTGTTGTAGTGCAACCCGTAATCTCGAGTGTACTGTAAGTACCTAAGTACACGAACTATGACTTTCCAATGCTCGCGACTAAAATTACTTGTATACGTACTTAGCTTGCTTATAGCATAAGCTATGTCGGGTCTAGTGCAGCTCATTAGGTACATTAAGCTTCCAATTATCCGAGCGTATTCTATTTGGGATGCACTCTCTCCACGATTCTTTGATAAATGGATATTTGTGTCCAGAGGAATTCTCGCTATTCTTGTATTATCCTTACTGATTTTTTCGAGGATTTTGTCTACATAGTGAGTTTGACTCAAAATTAGACCATTTGCGGTTCTGTTGATCTTAATTCCTAAGATCACATCAGCGAGACCTATGTCTTTCATGTCAAATTTAGAATTTAACATTTCTTTGGTAGATTTAACGATTTTGTCGTTACTCCCAACAAGAAGTATATCGTCTACGTAAAGACAAATTATTACATAGTCTGTCTCAATGGTCTTTACGTATATACACTTATTACATTCATTTATTCTGAAACCACTATCCATGATGGTATGATCAAATTTCTCATGCCATTTATTTGGAGCTTGTTTAAGTTCGTATAGTGATTTCACAAGTATACTGACCTTCTTTTCTTTACCTGGAACCGTAAACCCTTCTGGTTGTTCCATATAGATCTCTTCATCAAGATCTTCATTTAAAAAGGCCGTTTTCACATCCATTTGATGTACCTCGAGATTCCGCAAAGCGGCTATCGCAAGGATCATCCTAATGGATGTTATTCTCGTGACAGGAGAATATGTGTCAAAGTAATCTAGGTCTTCTCGTTGCCTGTAACATTTGATTACAAGTCTAGCCTTGTATTTGTCTATTGTACCGTCTGGTTTTAATTTTCTCCTGAATATCCACTTTGATCCAAGAGGTTTCAAACTAAGTGGGAGATCCACAAGTTCCCAAGAGGTTTCAAATGGAGTCAATTTCGGTTTTCACAGCTTCTTTCTAAAGAGGCACTTCAGCAGACTTCATAGCCTCAACATATGTTTGAGGCTCGTTTTCAAGGAGATAGGTGAAATATTCATTTCCAAACGACTTTTCGATTCGAGCTCGTTTGCTTCTTTTGAGCTCAGGTTCCTGACCAAGTTCAGATTCAAAGTCCAATATTTCCATTCGATCTTGGTCTGGGTTCACAGTTTCGTGTTCTCGGTTGACCAAACCAGGTTCCGCGCTTGCCTTTACAGGGAACACATTTTCAAATAATAATACATTCTTTGATTCAATTATCGTATTATTTCGGATATCCGAAATTTTTGAATCAAATACCAAGAATCGATAGCCAGTACTGTTATGTGCATATCCTATGAAAATGCAGTCCACTGTTTTGGGACCGATTCTCACACGTTTGGAAGGTGGCACCACTACCTTAGCTAGACACCCCCACACTCGAAGGTGTATGTAAGACGGGTCTTCTCCATCATTTTCCGAGGTATTAAGTTAAGCAGATAATTACTGCTTAGAATTGCCTCTCCCCACATGTTTTAGGGTAGTCCACAACTTAACAACATCGCATTCATCATTTCTTTTAATGTGCGATTTTTGCGTTTAGCAACACCGTTTGATTGAGGTGAGTAAGGTGGAGTTACATCGTGAATTATTCAATTTTGTGCACAAAAATCACCAATCGGAGTTTCATATTCTCCACCTCTGTCACTTCGAATTCATTTAATTCGTTTGTTAAGTTGGTTTTCCACTTCATTTTTGTACAAAATGAATTTACTTAATGCCTCGTCTTTGCTCTTAAGCAAGTAAACATAACAGTATTTTGTACAATCATCAATAAATGTGATAAAGTATTTATTACCACCATGCATTTTTACAATTTTCAGATCGCATACATAACTATGAATCAATTCGAGTGGTTCAGTTTCATGATGAATAGTTTGGAAAGACGATCGAGTTTGTTTTGCTTCAACACAAATTTCACATTTTTTTTATTTAATTCGAATTTCGGAATGTGGTTCAGGTTAATTAATCGACGAATTGAATCATAATTAACATGACCCAATCGACTATGCCATAAAGTAGAGGACTCAACAATATAAGCAACAAACTTATTATTATTATTTTCAATAACTGTCATAATACAACATTTCAGAAGTCCATCCTCTACATATCCTTTACCCACATACACACCTGATTTACGCAAAACAAAATTATCACCATTCATATTAATATTAAAGTCGTGTTTCATCAGGAGCGTCCCCGAGACTAGGTTCTTCGTTATCGTTGGCACGTAGAGGACATTGGTCAGCGTCACAACTCTTCCAGACGTCATCTTCAGAAGAACCTTTCCTCTTCCCTTGACTTCCGCATGAGTAGCATTCCCCATGTACATCGGTTCTCCTTCGACGCGCTCGAATGAGGAGAATTGATTCTTGTCCATGTAAATATGGGGAGTTGCTCCCGTGTCGAGCCACCATTGTTTCTTGTTTGATCCTACCAGATTTGCCTTAGAGACAATACATGTCAGGTCGAGTGGCTCTTCATCTTTAGTAACGACGTGTGCTTGATTCGTCTCTTTCTTTCTTTTTGGCACCTTGCAGTCTATCAAACGGTGTCCGGCCTTTCCGCAATTAAAACAGGTACCTTTGAAGGTACTATTTGCCTTTTCAATGCCGTCAGATGGTTTCAGCTTCTTTTTTCCCTTGTCCATTGGCTTCCAGTTCTTTCCTGGCTGCTCATTGTTCTTCGGAGCTGTCTTGAAACGGGAGCCTTGGCCTTTGTGCTCGACTACATTGGCCTTGCTGCCGAGTATCAGATGTCCCTTGCTTGCTAGGTTCGACCTATGCTCTTCTTCAGTTTGGAGACGATTAATCAGTCTCGCCATATCCATTTCTTTCCATTTGTGTTTCAAG